CAGCGGCGTATCCAGAAGAGATGGCAGCGACGCCAGTGGGAGTCATGATAGCGGAGTAAGCAGTGGTGCTGTTACCGGCAGAGACAGCGGCAGCAGTGCAGCCTGCACCAGTTGCTGAGGTAGCAGAAGCAGGGCCGGACTGGATGGGGTTGCATCCTGGAAGAGCGTCAAGGACGCTTCCATCGTCACCACCGTAAGCCTCCATAGCGGAGCAGCTCTTCCAAGACTCGTCGCTATCCTTGTTGACGTTCGCGGAGCCAAAGCACTGCTCCATCTCTTCTTGTCCACAGCCGCAACCGCACTTGCATCCGTCGTTCTCGCTAACGGCCTTTTCGAGGACACCGGCTTCCCATCCGTTCATCTATATCTTGTTAAAAAGAGGAGTCAAGAAGGGTGAAGAAGAACTTACAAAGTCACCGTGGAACCCGTAACCAGTTGGGTCACCGTTGGACAGGACCCAGGGAGCCTCATCAGGACCAAAGGTGAACTTGGTAACATCCCACCAGTACTCAATGAAGAGAGTAGGGAAACGCGCGGCCCTATGGGTCATAGGGCAGTTCTCGATACCGACACCAGCGTTGCCGTTGGGGTAGGCCATGTGCGCGTTGGGGTTCTTGGGATCCATCTTCTCGCCGTTCCAGCACGAAGGGAAGGTGACTTCGGAAGCGAAGCCGTACTTGCAGGTGCTGAAACCCTTGGGGAAGCCGTTGGCGAAGATGGCTGTGGAGCCACCGTCGGGCTCGTGGCAGCCCCAGCGAACACCGGCGGGGTTGTCACCGTCGGAGCGCTTGAGCGGGCTACCAGCGATCATGTTGAAGTCCTCTGGGTAAGCAGTGACGTTTGCCCAGTTGTTGCCATCGCCGTACTTGTAGTAGATCTTAGTGGCTAGCTCGGGTACGCGGTAGAGCTTGGTTCCGTTGGTGAAGAACAGGGTTGGGCGCCAGTACAAGGACTTGTCGGTCTTGATACGGGCAGTGGTGCAGTCAGAGGCCTGGGTATCCGCAAAGCCCATGGACTTGGAGAGTCCGTTTCCTCCGTCGAAGGAATGGAGATGGGGGCTCTCGGTTCCGGGGAACAGACCGGGGTCGAGGCGCTGGTAGCTCATGGCATTGCCGGCGCGGTTGTAGAAGCTGAAGTAGTTGCCAACGCATTGAGCGGAGGCAGTGGCGGCAAAGCCAGCCGTGAGGGAGACGATATCGAAACGCATGTTGGCTTGGTTGTGGTTTTGGGGTATGTGGAAATCTTGTATGAGTCGTAAGACAGCGAAAAGAGTGAGCTGTGTGAAAATGAAAGGACCGAGTCACAGACTCTGTAGGCTCTTGATTTCAAAAGGAGTGTGTAAAGAGTCAAAAGAATGAAAGAATGGTATTCCACCGGAAGCCAAAGAGAGAGCGATGTGAAGACAGCGATAAGAACAGGAAACTGGTGGGCAGGCTACTAGATAATATATCCAGGGACGCCCACATGCATCGGGATTTACATGCAGCCATGGGGGCGGCCAGCCCACGCTTGAGGCGCCCCATTCTAGGACGAGATTAGCTGAGGCATCCAAAAGTTTGACTGATGTGACTAGATTCGCGTAGGTGCGTAGTTGTTTCCGGGTGGAGATCTGAACCAGGGGAGCCGCGCGCAGTTCGAAGGCGGCGGCGCGGGTGTCAGGGGTAGGATGAGAGAATGCTATGCCGCGAGTCGCAAGAATACGTGGTGACGATGCCCAACTCCCTCTAGCCTGCAGCGAGGCTTGCAGTACGCCGTCGCTATCTGAAACATACCAACATGCAGTTCGCGCGACTCCCGTTATTTTTTGCCAGAGTCTGGAAGACGGCTGACGTATCGATAGGACAGAAAGACACATTCCGTTCCTGGCGGCGTTCGGGGCGCTTAGCGTCACGATCGTCGCACGCGAGGCCCAGGTGGCTGATCTTCAAACGGTGCTGACTCCCCCTGCCTAAGATTAATGTCCGCGCGCGCTTCCATTTGCTGCACATGTTTCTTTTTAGGCCTCGATGCAAGGGCTCCGATAAGGAGGACAATCCGGCAGACATGCTCTTTTCTTCCACCGAACCCACACTATGTGGAGCTCAAAGTGTTTGCCGCTGGGCCGCGACGGGAGGCACTCAGAGGATCGCCCCGGTACCTGGGAAACGAGATCTTCGCAAGGACCGCTTGCTGTCGATGAGGACACGATCCAGGGCAACGGTAATCTTGACGAGCTGTCATGTCCTGTATCCAGAAACAGAATCGATAAAGAATCCCACGTGATCTTTCTAAACTCGTCCACGGGTCATCACGCTGCAGCATGCCACAGTCCGAGCTGACGCTCTGTCCCCGAACGCGACATGTGCGTGGCGTCAAATCACAATTTTATGATGACCTCCAAGTCAAGTTTAGCAGGCAAAAGTCCTCTCCCAAGGCTAATTCTACAGCATACGCGTTCCTGCAGCGTACCTGGCAGAAGTCTCCGACCGGTAGAAGAGCGGCCGCCATTCAACAAGTTAACAGTAGCCGGAGTGTAGCTGTAATGCTTAGTTTGGTACCTGACGTCTCAACGACAGCTCGTGGCACAGCGGCTCGTATCGATAACGAAATCACCATCCCCACTCTTCATGAAACGCACAGGACTTGTGCGAGAGAACGTGCGGTCTAGACCACACTTGAATGACATACTGCAGGTTACTGCTCAGATGTGGAGTTGAGAAAGATCACCGTCGTCACGATTTGTATAAGTGGAGATATCGTAGTGTCTGCATGTGCTCCGAGTAGAAGGAGTGGCTGTATGCGCCCAAATACTCCCTGTACAACTTCATGGATGAAGCCTGGATATAGAAGGCGCGTAACGAAGGTCTGTGGATTACGTAGGCTTCAACACACTTCAGAGCCTCCTTCTAGGCGCTGCGTACGTCGCGCGCTTGTGTTAGTATACAGGCGTGTAGACGTACTACGGTTATTGAGCCTCCACGGGACGTAGCGACCGGTACACCAGAGCGGCAGCGTGCCGCGGACAAACGAAACAAGGTTCTAGCGGAACAACGGAGCGTTTGATCCCCCAGGGAGACGTTTTTGTTCGTTGGTTCTGACAGGTTACGCAATCTTGTGCGTTGAGTTAGGTGAGGAGCGAGGAGTCGCGTCTAGAAGTGTCGAGCGGTTGAGAGACTCGTGTATGCAGAATGAAAAGCTAGGATATTCATAGAAGGCAGAAATCAAGATTCTGGAGCGACGATGAGGTCTTTGCGTGACGTACGCGCCTCGCATCTACCTGAGAAGGCTGGCGTACCCATACTAGCAACGTGCTTGTTCGATACCGTCTGTGTATGCTTTTGCTCTACATTCGCGAAGTGGCTGATTCCCAGACGCTCGAAAACAAGGTCGTCTTTCGCTTTGGCCGATCGCTTCCGCCTTGACTAAGTAGGTTGAGGAGGTGTCCGATCTGCAACAGTGTCCCTTGGACATGCCAACGTTCACTCTGCTATTCCTTCAGTCAGGTACCGAGATGAACTTTATGCGTGCCGTTCCAATACTGCATCGATGGCGGATGAAGATTGCTGAGTTCGCCGCAACTCTTGGTGAGAATCGCGTGCGTACCAGCTCACTCAAGCCTTCCCACCCAGCACACTCTCAACAGCGCCCCACCGATCAATACTCCTCTTGATCAATCCTGCCATCAGCTCCTTGCCGACAACACCCCCGCCGCTCTTCTCTACCCTCCTGATGACCAAGTCCTTCGTGCCCTTCTTTCCGCCTGCACAGTCCACCATCACACTAACAGTCTCTCTACACACGCCCTCCTCAAACGCATCAGGATCGCTGAGCACAAAGTCTACTTCTTCGTCCTCGTCCTCTCTCCTGCCTTCGAACACTGCAAACGTGCTAGGTATCGGCAGACCCCGTAATTGAAGGCGAAGCGCCTCCTTGGGTTCGTCTGAGCATAGAATTCCCTCGTACTCCTCGTCGTAGTACGCGTGCGGTAGGAGTGTGTCGCGAAGTGCAGCGAGTATGGATATCCACGCCGCGTCGAATGCGTTGCCATCGATGCTGATGAAGAAGACGTCGAGGTAGAGAACCCAGTATCCTTTCAGCTGTGTCTCCGCTTCTGTGTCTGGGTTTTCGGGGTTCGTGGATGGCTTGTATAGTATCCGGAGATCTGAAGCGCGGAGAAGTCGTGTCGAGTTGAGGAGAGAGCGTATGCGAGTTATGAGCGTTTGCGCATATGTGGAAGGCGCGTTGCCGGGGATGTGCGAGGGTGTGCTGCCTGTAGATAGTTCCACGTTTGGGACCAGTAACCTCAACTCTTCCACTTCTTCGCCATTGTCTTCCTCCTCCTCCGTATTCTGGCCCGCAGCCTGTCCGGGATACTCGAAGGTACCCGGGATGTCTTCCTCTTTCAAGATCTCTGCGCGCACGCCGCAGACGACGCTTGTGTTGCCCAGTCGCACGACTGCACTGCCATTGCAGTGGGTGAGACTTCCAGTGTTGATGCCTGGTGTGCGGAACTCGTTTGCAGCACGGCCATTTGCGCGTATGGGCTTCTTCTTCTCTGCGGACAGATGCGCCTGCAGGAACGGGTGCGGGGAGACGGCGGCGAAGATGGAGCGAGGGAACGTGAGCGCTGGCGAGGGCTGGGTTGCGGCTGCCATGGTGAATGTACTGGAAACTGATACGCGCTTGAATCAGGTGCGATGTTCGAGGCGCGAATTGTTAGCATCTATGTCGGCGCTGGGAAATTTTGGAGCTCAGAGCTATGACGCGCTAGAGTTAAGCTTAAATGGGTGGGGCATGGAGATCACAACCATCGTCACTTATGAAGTCAAATCTGTTGGCTATAAAGAGAGCAAGCAGGCCGACTTCACATAACATTCAAACTGCGTAACCTATACGCTATGCCTCAAGGGTATTCCGATGCGCTATGAACGCGACGCGACAAACAAAACATTACAGGTATATCCCATGCTCTCAGTCAATTTGTAAAGTCTGCTCGCAATCGTAGCTTCGTCGAGCTTTGCCTACCCTGAACTGAGTCCAGCCTTGCCAGCCTGTTGAACAGGCGTCCACTTGCCCTCCTTCTTGAATTGATCGCCCCTCAATGTGCCCTCAGCAAGCTGGCTGATCATGTAGTCCCTTCCCTTGATCATCCATACCATCTGACTAGGCACCCTGAAGCCATTGAACGCACCAACACCCTTCTGGGTGCCGATGGGGCAAATCTGCTGCTCCTTCAAGTTCGCCGTGTAGTGGCGATCGCCCTTGTGTGGCTCCCCAGTCAGGTGGGCAAGCAGGTCGTTCTTGAGGTTTGTCATAGCCGCAGGTACAGCGTCGTACATGTCCATGACGCCTCCACGAGTATAAGAGCCTGCATCGCCGACGACGTAGACGCGGGGACCGGCGGATTCGTGTTCGACGCGGAGGGTCTTGTCGTTACATGCGACGCGGTTGCGGGTATCGAGCCACTCCTTCGGGAGGAAGCCAGTGTTCGGCCGTGAGCCGGTCGCATCGATGTAGATATCCGCTTCGACTGTTTCGCCATTGCTGAGTTCCACCCTCGTCTTTGCGCCTTCTTCGCCCGCTTCGGTGGATCCAACAACCCTCGTGTTGTAGGTGACATCGCATCCGAGACGCTTGAGGAATTGCTCAGCGGTTTGACCAATGGCTGGACGCAGAAGAGGCAAGAGTTTCTTGTCTCCGCAGATGAGCGTGACTTTTGCCTTTGGGTTCTTAGGCGCGGATGCCATGAAACCCGGTCTGCCGTTCAGAATCTCTGCAACCTCTCCAGCCGTCTCGACACCTACTGGACCGCCTCCGCCGATGACTACTGTCTTTGCGCTCTTCAGGCCCTCCTGGAAGGCGGTATGAACCTTCTCGAGTGCTTCGCGGTCGGTTGCCTGTGTGAAGAGCGGGCTTGGTGTGGTGAAACCGGTCGCGATGACAAGCGCAGCGTATTCGATGTTTTGCTGCTCGCCAGATGCGGTTTCAACGCAGACTGTTTGGCCGGTGGGGTCGACATTTGTCGCAGTTCCTTGGATGAACTTGAACTTGGGGAACGCATAAGTGAACGCAGGCTCGATGGGGTAGAAGGTCTTCTCCGAAGGCATCATCTGTTTCGAGACACTTTCGCGAGGTGCTGCGATGCGCCACCAGAGGTCTTTGGAGGGGTTGACGAGCGTGACATTGTATGTAACTCCATCCTTCTTGGGTAACTGTGGGATAACATGCTTGAGGGCGTAGTGCGCAGCGCTGATGCCTGCAAAGGATCCTCCGAGGATTAGGATAGTTTCGGTACTCATGGTGAACGATAATTAGAAGATGCGCTTGGATTGGGTATCGGAATGAAAAGAAGACAAAGAGATAGATACAAACACGTCGCAAAAGAAAAAGTTCAGGAGACGCGTCGCTATTAAACTTTAGGCGCGCTTCAAGCCTCAGGGACACCGCAGGTGGGGAGCCGCCGAATCGTTAAGTCGATGCTGGATCGAGGGTGCGACGTTTCAATGGGCTAAGCGCGTGGTTAGCTTGATATATGGTTTTCACGATTCCGTTATCAGGATTTTAGCCGGCTTCGGGCGTTGCTTATGCTCACGCTTATGAATCGCGTTCGTGGACAGGCTGTTCACACGCATTGTTAGATATTGGAGGCTTGAGAAAAGGAAGCTAAGGAGCGGGTGCTAGCCACTTCACGCTTAAGCCCGGAATCCCTTGCTGCCGATCCGTCGCTGACAATACAAAGCTGTGCAAAGGGTGCTTACATGCTTGGAAGCCATAGACAACGCGGAGACGTTCCGTTCTCCTGATAAGAGCATCGCGAAATACGAGTCCTGTAGCTGGGGCATCTAGTGTGATGTCCTCCTGAGATCTATGGTATTCCAGGTTCTTCGCAGCATCCTTCAAAACTTCATCCGCAAGGTCTAAAATAGACGAGGACACGGGCTCCGAGGCTTCGCAAGTGAGGTATAGATATGCTCTGGTTTGTCATCTGTGCGCAGTGATTGTGGAGAGCGTGCTAGAAGATTTTCATTCATATCTTTCCTGAGACATAACGCCAGTCCGGTATTTTGCCTGCAAGACCCACCGCGATTGCTGACCGTCACGGTCGTTGCATTCATGAAGTCCTCCATATCAATATACATGCGGTAGGCCGTCATTGCACGTAATCTCCTTTCTGGCTCTTGCGACCCTTTCTTAAGCTACTTTTGCGTAACTTCTTACTCGACCTCAGCCTTGGACTCGAAGTTGTCGCCAGCGACGAGGTCGGGGATGTCATCATCGTCGTCGTCGTCGTCGTCCTCCTTCTTGTCACCGTCCTCGCCCTTCTCCTTCTGCATGCTCTGGTAGGATTCGGCGAGTTTGCGTAGCGATGCGAGCGAGTCGGGGCCGAGCTGGTTGAGGATGCCGGGGACGAGCTCTGTCAGCTCCTTGTCCTCACCGTGTCCGTAGATGGCGAAAGTGTTGGCAGGTACTGATGCGTGGACTATACGATGCGTGAGTTAGTATGTACTGCGACAAAAAGGTAGAGTGGCATAATTGTGGATCACAGAGTGCCATATTTGCGATGTACCAAGGCACTCTTCCCTATCCACATGTTAAAACGCTTGGGATGACGTACCCTTTGGTGCCGAGAAGTGGATGACGTTTCCGTCGCTCTTGAACATGTTGACCTCCTCAATGGCCTGGATGGGCTGGACGTTGAGCTTCTTCAGCGCGGTCTGGAGCTTCTTGTCGTCGGTACCAGCGGCCCTGTGGACCTTCTTGACCTTCCTGCGGGGAGTACCCTTGCCGCTATATATCGAGTTAGCCTCGAATTCCTCATAGCCATCTCGTTCCTGAGTGTCGCTCGCTACCAAGGGGCGGTCGTGGTGGGATTTCGCGGGTTCGTGATATTTTGCGGTGCGGGGCTGTCAAAATACAGCAGGAGAGGATTGCTTACCCTGTACACACTCAAGTTAGCAACTACTCCCTCGAATGACATAGCTGACTGCTCTATAAAGCGATTGCAGCTTAGAATTGGAGTACGTACCAATGCGCACCGACGCTTGCATGCGCGCCAACTTTGCTTGATCCATATTTGCGGTGTTGAGGAAGGATGACTAGGTGGGGAGAGCTGTGGGCGTAGAGTGTCAGCGGTCGGGTCCGGATTCTTCGCAGATTGGAGTGAGGGCTGGGGCTCAGAGCGAGCGCGGGGCCGGTACGCACCTAAATTCGGGATCGTGGCCGAGACTTGGAGTGTGGTGTTGCTGGTGAAGTTGTTGCGGCCATCGGCGAAACTCGACGGAAGCGCCGATTGTGTGCATGTCCTCGCTTGTGGAAGCTTCAGATCCCCGCAACGTCAGAGGGGTCATACGCGCCAACACCCATCTCATCCACCTCGAGACGGTCAACATGACGCGTTCGTCATTGTTTCAATTGGATTTACATGCAGATGCAGATGCACAGACGGAACCGCGGTGCACATCCAAGGCCAACATGCGGAATGGCGGTCCGTCAACTTTACCTAGGTACCTAGGTACACTAAAGAAAAATGCTTCACGTCCCAGCAGATTGAACCCTCGCGCTGAGCTTGATCGCGAATAGTGGTATTAATGCTCTACTTCAAAATGCCCACATCTACCTAGAGTATTGCGATCCCAGCCACACCAACAACACCCAATGCCCACGAGAAAGCCTTCGCTTGCACTGCTGCACCTGTCGGCGTCGCTGATGCAGCACTTCCGCTGGCGGCCGAGCTTGGGCTTGTCTCTGTCTCCGTTCCGTTGGGGTTTCCTGGAATGTCTTCCTGGGTAACCTTCATGCCTGTCTGGTTCTTGCAGTTGTCGGCGAAGTTGATCTGGGCGTTGTTGACCAGGGTCACGTCCGCACACTATGTGGCCATTAGCGACTTTCTTGCGATGATGGACCATTCCATGTCAAAGGCTTACCTGGTACAATCCACCCGCCTCGTGGTTGTTGGTAACAACTTGTATCGAAGCCTTGGTACCATCCGTCACATTCAATCCTTCCGGTAGGGAGACGTGACCGAAGCAGAAGTCTCCTAGACCTGATACTTGGGTCTGCTGTTGTGCGACGATGCTGAATCCATCTCCCGGGTTATCACCAATGGCCATGTATACAGCAACGTTGGTCTGTGGGTGCTCCATGTGCAGTTGTATCGGCCCTCCGCTGATTGGGAAATCGGTGCGTTCTTGCTGGACATCGTTGTAGCCTCCACAAGGGAAGTTGCCCTCAGTGTCATCGGTGAATCCACGCGCTTCAGGGAAATTGAGCTGGAAATGGGCGAGTGTAAGAGGAAGGAAGGCGAGCGCAAGAGCGCCGTTGGTAAGCATATTGACGATTGAGAGGTAAATGTAGGTCTTGATGCCGTGTAGGAAAGAGAAGGAGGAGCGCTTTCAACTTGATGCAGTGGAATGCGAGAAGGTTAAGAGGATAACAATAAACAACAAGTAAACGCCGGGATCACCTGCCGTATTTATTACAGCTTACTCTGGAACGAACCGCATCCCATGCCGTGCATTCCGTTCCAGTAAATCGCGTGGCTTGCCCGTGAGCACTCGAAGCGACCTGCATTGATCCCGCGTTTCGAATAGGTCGACGATCTAAGCAGATAGCAGTAAGTGAGCAGTATCCTGCATCAGCGGCGACTGTCGCTAATGTGCAAGCCGTTAGGGTATGGTATCGTGTGGCGCGCAGGATGCCGACAATTGAGCAAGTTTATTACCAAAGCGGTGGTTCCTCACCGCGGAAGCGACTAGCGTCCAACAAGGTTACATTTCACCGATGGCATTTCCGGTGACGCGCCGAGGCTTAGATTATGGTTCTACTGTATAGCCGGCAATGGAGATCAAAGTTATGGGAATACCACGTTCATGAATCGCATTTGTGTTGCTGGAAATAAGCTTTGTGCACCCCACGGGGTCCTGCGAGGAAGCTCCTAGCACCTTATCCAAGGGAAAAGCCGGACACGAAGTGTTGGGGAACCTTCTTAAAAGCATGTCTCTGGGGTATCAAGATGAGTATTACGCTCGGGAAAAGCTTTCTTTGGATATGAATAACACAATGCAAGTCTAAGGCTCAGTGCGCCGCCACCTGATTGAACCTGCCAAACGCCAGCTCACCGACGAATGCACCTGCTAGCACGGACAAAAAGTATCCAACATTGTAGGTCATGACTGCCAACATGCTGCCCAAAAGTTAGCTTTGACCCAATGACCGGAATGTGTAGTGCTTACAGGAGATATCCGACGCCGGCCACAACTGTCATCAACAGTGCCCGGGGCAGGTCGATACTAAATCTCCATGGCTGAATGTGAGAGACCGGCGCCGAAATGATGCGCACATCTTCCTGGACACCGTTTGTTGTGAGGACACCGGTCATCGAGTTGGCGTCGTCTGCAGCGCTATCGACAACCGCTTTCTCGCCTGCAACGACGATATAGCGTCGCTTCAGCGCGCTCTTGACTGCCTTGATCTCGAGGTATGTCTTTGCGGTGAAGAGGGCGCGAAGGAGTATGGACAGGATAATAAGGAAGATGCATGTCCCTGCGTATTGGCCAGCGGTCGTCGGGGTCCACGCCTCGGAGTATAAAGGAGTGGTCGTTGACGTGACGAACGCCATTGCCATACCGCCATGTGAGGAAGTACCCATGGACATGCCGCCCATATCCATCGAATCCATAGCCATATCGTGACCCTCGTGAGCAACCATGGTGATGGGTTCGACGTGCGTGTAGCGATAAGAAGGTTCCGTTGATGAGGCTCAGGATGGGTTCCGTTTAGGTCGCGCGGGGTGATAAGGGATCGAAGAATAGGTACCGAGTTCCAGACTGCTATCTTAGTCCTGGGGCAGGCGATCGCTTAAGACTTCTCGGTACGCTGTGGGCTTGCGCGTTCGCTGGTTCCAGTTCCGTAAAGATGAAGGCGCCTCAGCATGAACGCACGACCTGGAGGCGCTGGTTTCGTGTTGCAGTGTATACAATTGTGGTGAATGCGTAAGATTCTGCGACACTCAAGAAATGGTCAAGTCTGGGCTGAGGCGTGGAGCGTCGGGGCATGTGAGCACATTTCTCGGCAACGCCTTCCCGCCTACATGTAAGACAGGCAAATCTCGCAGCTACGGAAAGATGCCATCCATGCGCGTTCTATGGGTCATGGCACGCTGTCGGTGGCTCGGGCGGATGAGCGACGTTCAAGCAGCCGGACTCCCAAGGAGCGACTTTGAGCATAATTAGCCGGTTGTGGTTAGCGCATGAAGCTTAATTCAAGCCACGGCCAACAGAGTGCCCGCTGGGCCTCGATGCAGCCCCCGCAGTGCATCGACCCTGCCGCCCTGCATCTGAGAGGCAATTGATTACAGTCGGCACTACGGCCACATGGACTATTACCGGGACCATGGCTGAAGGCGCTGCGTGTGTGCGTCTTTCGCTGGACGACTCTCACATCTTGTCAACCTCCTATGACACTGTCACACACTGTCTATTTCCCAACGTCCTAGAGTGCGTCTCCATACCGATCCCTCGACGTAGCGACGAAACAACGACCCTGGTTACATCTCAGACTGCTCGCGACGAAGTCAGCATGCGATAAACATCGGTACGGGCACACGCCATCCATCACTGGCAACCGCCCAACCTTGCATTCAGTGCAAGCCTGGAAACAAAAACCAAACAAGAGTCGGCAACACTGCAGCAGCGCGTAGCATCATGAGCCACAATCACATGTCGATGGGCTCCATGGGCGCCTTGCCCCCGCTCACAGAATGGCCGGATTTCTACTACGCAGTGATTGGGGCCGCAGTCGGTGTCGCAACACTGTTCAACGTGTACAACTATGTGCTATACCGCCAAAGAATGCTCGCGGCCAGAGGGGGGTCGCGGACGCCTGCAAAGCCCATCTCATGGTTCGCCCTCGGGAATGCGACACTCTACGCTCTGACCCGTGAAGCGTCCAACTTCTCATTACGCATACCACTGAAAGGTCGCATACTCAGACTACCAACAGTCGGCCGATCGTCGCTGGTTGTCGGAAACGTGGTCGTTCTGGTCGTTCTATGCTTATACGGCTTCGATGTGACGGACACGTTCAGTATGGAGAATATTGGCTTTCGTTGCGGTGTGGTTACAATCGCCCAACTACCGATTATCGTCCTGCTAGCGGGCAAGAATAACATCATCGGATGTCTTAGCGGTGTGAGTTACGAGCGTTTAAATTGGCTGCATCGATGGTGCGCTCGATGCATGCTGCTTACGGCCACCATGCACCTGGGGTATTTCCTCAGTGCGTGGGCTCCATACGACTATATCGGCTACCAACTCAAGAATAACGCGATTGTTTGGAAAGGCCTTGCTGCATGGTGTACCCTGGCGTGGATCGTGTTCAGTTCCATGACACCGATCCGAGGCTGGAATTACGAGATCTTTGTTATTCAACATATCGTTTCGTTTGCAGTTTTCCTTGCGTTCGTCTACATTCATACCCCTCTCGAGATGAACGGCTATGTCTGGGCTCCGGTTGCCATTTTCCTGTTCGACCGCCTCTTCCGAGCATTGCGACTGCTATACATCAACAGCTCCGTATTTCATCCTGCGTTAAAGAAGCGGGGCCAACTGAGTGGCCTCTGGGCGTGCAAAGCCGAATTCACACCTCTCCCTCACAACACCACCCGAATCACTATACCTAACCCACCCATCAGCTGGACTCCTGGTCAACATGTATATCTATCATGTCACTCCGTTGTGCCGCTACAAAGCCATCCATTCACCGTGGCCTCGATACCAGCAGATGGAAAGATGGAGTTTTACGTCAAGGCCGAGAAGGGAGGTACCAAGCGTCTCTTCAGGCATGCGGAGAAATCCGGCAGTCTATCTGGAGTGCCCGTCAAAGCCAGGACTGTGGCCATAGAAGGCCCATACGGCACTCTGAGACCACTGCGCCAATTCGACAGCGTCGTTCTCCTCGCAGGAAGTACCGGCGGCACTTTCACTCTCCCGCTCCTTCGCGATCTCCTCCAAGGTTGGAAGGAGAATGCTTGTGGCAACACAAGCAGCACATCAATTTTCAAAACACCAACAGGTGCGGTCACACGACATATCCGCTTCGTATGGGTCGTCAAGAGCAGAGGGCAGCTAAGCTGGTTCTCCGAGCAGCTTTCTTCCGTATACACCGAGTTCCGAACGCTGCAGGAAACACTCCGCGACATCAAACTCGAAATGAGCGTCTACATCACCTGCGACGAGTCCTTCACGGAAGAGCACAACTCCGTGCTTTCAGGCGTGACGGCACCCAATATGAATGTAAAATCACAGAGCGAGCCCGAGCATGGTGCAGTGCAGTATAGATCGCCCTCACAGACATCAGAAAAGAAGAGCGAGAAGAAATCCCACAGGCAGGGATATCAAGAAGTAACATCTATCGATTCAACAAGTCTCGATATCCAGGAAGCATGTAGTCCGAACGGCACATGCTGTTGCCGCACTGCGGTTGACGAATCGTCTTCAGCCAGTAAAGCAGTGTGCAGCTGTTCGAAACCTACAGCTACCTCATCTCAACCTGCATCACTCGCACCTTCCGCTCAATCTTCCCTCGAAAAAGGCAAGAGAGTCGTCGTGCATCCATCGATAGCGATATACTCCGGTCGGCCGAAGACGCGGGATATCATCCGAAGGTCATTGGAGCAAGCACTAGGAGAGAGTGCGGTGGTGGTATGTGGACCGCAAGGGCTAGTGGCAGACGTGAAGCACGATGTTGTCTCGCTGAGCGATGAGCGCGCAATACACAAAGGGACGGGAGCGCAGGGCATATACCTGCACACCGAAAGCTTTGGATGGTAATATCTTCAACCCAATACATTCTTAATCACCATGTGAACTCTGAGTGTGCAAAATGTGAAGTATGGTAGTAGTAACATTCGTCGCAATAAATAAGAGTACAGATGCAACCCGTCTCATCATGGTGCAACGCCTCAAACGCCTATCCAAACCCAACCCACAATATCGCCAAAAAGATGCTAGTATGCGTTCGTGGAAAATGTGCGTAAAACAAAGCGCAAATGCAATGATGATGACAAAGGGAAGAGATGGTAGATGGGACGCGAGGCAAACGCTCGCTTTCAATCCACAATCCTCAACGCCAGACACCACTCCGTTTGATGAGACAAAGGAAATGGTATTTGCCCGCCCTCCTTTCGTCACGCCAACGCCGTGGAATGTTATGTGTCCAAACACCCCATTATTTACCCTTCGTCGTGTCGTTGTTGTATATGTCGTAATCGTTCCGGGGCTGTCACGCATCGTCCGTCCTACCGGACCATGCGCTTGCTGCGTTGGATGAAAGGAGATGGCATCTCCGGCTCGGTCTCTGGGTCCCATACTGCGGGTGGGCTGATACCGCCAGTTCGCTTGACCGGACTCCTTCGGCCGTTGTATCCGAAGCCCTTCTTCGCGCCTCCCTCGTCTTCACTCATAGTGTGCACAGGGATACCGCGCGCTTGTTGAAGTTCGACTAGTGTGCGGCCCTGGACACCGCCGTTGTTGCGCATTGCTTGAACGCGGAATGCCTCGTTGCCCTTCTTTGATGGGAGTCCGGCAAATGGAATGGACTTTGTGGTAGCGCCTGTCTTGCGTGGTGATGTTGATGCGGTGTCGGTGGACTTGGACTTCGTTCGAGAAGGCGACGCAGCGACGATGGGTACGGCGGAAACAGGACGGGGCTTTGTAGTTCTGGGACCCAGGAGGTTTGGTGTGCTTCCCAATCGACCGTTGGCCTTCAACAGCGGCGCTTGGGCATTTGCGAGCACCTTGAAGGGGTCCGCACTCATAGGACGACCCCCAGAGGCGCTTCGTGCGCGGGTTGGCGATGGCAGAACAGGAAGATCATCATCGTCGTCGAAGTCGGCGTTCCACTCTGCCTCAGTTGGCGACGGGGGAACGTCAGCTTCCCACTTCTTCGCGCCTTCCTTAGCAGCAGCGAAGATGTTTTGCTTAGGTTGCTGGTTGCGACGAGGGGAAAGCGAGAGTCCCTTGAGTGAGATAGGTGCCGGCGACGGCTCAGCCATCTGCACATCCATGGGAGAGTCGGGTACTTGTGTGGTGGAGGGTTGAGAGAACATTGTGCGGGCGCGGACGAGGGGACCGCGGGACGGTCGCTTTGCCTTTGGCTTAGCTGCGATGGTAACATCTTCGGTGTGGTCGTCCAGGGAGAGTGACGATAGGTCTGTTCCGCTGGCGAAGTCGGAGTCTGTGTTGAGGGTGTTTTGCGAGCCGCTCTTAACGGCACCATCGGACTCTGCTGAGAACAAAGCAGACGTTGGTTCTGTTGCCGCCATAGTAGGCGTATTGGACCGAGGAGCCAGCTTTGGCGATGTGCTCAGACGGTTGGGGTACATCTTCAGGGCGCGCTCTACCCGCCTATTCACCTCTCCCTCGAAGGTCGCCTGGAGCTGAGCCAGCTCTTTTTGTACTCGTTGTTCCGTTTGCAGCTTCACTTGTCGCTCAATCTCCAGCTGTGCTTTAACTTCCCACTCTCGTCGTAATTGGTCGTCCAACTCTTTGCGTATCCGTGAAATGGCTTCGCTTGCCTCCTTCTCCCGCTTCGCTGTCAGCATACGCTGCTCACGGAGGTCCTGTCCCAGCTTGACGACTTCCTGCTCTTTGCGCATAAGCTTGACGATTGGCAGGTTGAGAAGTGCGGCTGTGTCTGGTCGGTTGTCGGGCGTTGTGTTCAGGCAGCTTGCAATGACCTTTCGCAGTTCTGCCGAGTAGCAGGCCGGTATGTCGGGGTATCGGCCCAGCTTGATCTTCGAGATGAGCTCGAAGTGTGTTTTGGCATTGAAGGGTGGTGACTTTGTGCACATCTCGTATATGATGCACCCGAGCGCCCAGATATCGGAGTGGGGACCATACTGCTCGGCCTTGCAGATCTCAGGCGACATGTAAAACGGCGTGCCGACGTAGGTGGAGGCGAAGTCGTGGGATTGGAGGATCTTGGACAGACCGAAGTCGCCCAGCTTGACGCTGTTGTCATCGCCAAGGAAGACTGTGAGTTGTTAGCGCAGAGTCACGCGACGTGGAGATGACCAGATACTGACTGTTCTCGGGCTTGAGATCTCTGTGGAGAATCATGGGCTTGCGCGGATCACGGGCAGGCTTCGCGTTGCCAACGAGTCCCATGACGTTGCGGCCTGCCGCAGGTGGGTCTTCACCGTAGTGGCAGCGGTACAGGGCGCTGACGATTTGGCTGAAGATGCTCCAGACGAACTCCTCCTCGCACACCTGGTTCTTGTTCTTGAGGTCGCGGATGACACGTCCGAGGTCGCCGTTGCCGCAGTACTCCATGTAGAGGTGGAGGTCCTGCGATGCCTTGATGTGGTCGCGCTCGAAGTAGGCGACGATGTTGGGGTGTCGGAGCTCCTTGAGGATGGACAGCTCTGCCTGGAGCTGCTCGCGTTCCTTCTGCGACATCTTGAGATAGCTGATTTCCTTGCGGCACAGGATCTAGGCGGTGGTTAGCACGTCGCGCGCGCAGGCTTCGTCGTCGCTGCTTACATAGCCGTCTGACTTCCGCTTGACTTTGCGGATGATACCAAAGGACCCATGGCCTATACAACGTCAGTATGCGTCCTCTTGCGCCTATCGAGGGCGGTCCGTACCAATCTTCTCGAGCACATCGTACTTTTCTTCCTCGGGCATGGTGAAGGTATTGCTATTGCTCAAAAGACATGCAACTATTAAGGGTAGGATAGGGTAGCAAGCTGCTGGGTTAGTAGAGCTCGGAGGTAGCGAGGGATGTATGTAATGTACAGTGGGTGGGATGGAAGCCAAGTTTCCTTGGTGTTTGGCCCTGTTTACGCTAACGGCCGTCAACCCAGCAACGCTGCGCGCGCCTCACGTGTTGCAGTTGCCAGGCGCACGCACCCCTGTCACTGCCCTTATCGATAGTTACGCCGATCTCCGCCGCCACTCGTCATCGCGGAGCAATAGTCACTTTCACCTCCACCATGTCGCCGTTACTGAGGACCTCTCCTTCTCGCCACACAAATGGACGTCAAGAAGAAGTACGAGATCGAGGCCGCCCTCGCGACCGAAGCCCAGGCGATTTCCTCGGGCCAGCTCAAAGAAGAGAATCCGCTGGACACGAGCGAAGATTTCAGGGTCTTCTGTGAAGCATGCCGGCGGGGGGACTTGAAGGTTTGCCAGGAAATGATATCGACCGGGGTAAACATCAACGCAAGAGACAGGTTTGATTACACCCCACTTATCTTAGTAAGACAATCTCCGAGTTCAAATCCAAACAATTCGCTATTCAATTCAGGGCGCTGACCGCTGAAGGCCAGTCTATGCGGTCACTACGAAGTCATACGCCTGCTGCTCGAAAACGGTGCACTCTGCGAACGCGACACGTTCCAAGGCGAAAGATGTCTATACAATGCGCTGAACGACCGTATACGTAATCTACTGCTATCCTACGACTACGCGAAATCCTCGAATCCTTTACAACCGCTGGCAGCACATATCACTTCGCTCCTCACGCGACCGTCGCCCAAGACGACAGACATCACAATAACAGCATTCGGCCAAGAGTTCCACCTCCACAAATTCCTTCTCGCTGCACGATCGCCCTACTTTGCGAAGAAGCTCGAGACAGCGCCGAATACAACGTCGTGGAAACTGCCCAATACTATACCCGCCGAGTCGCTAGGTGTGGCGTTGCAGTATCTGTACTTCCAGGAAGTCTCAATACGGAGAGCGTTACATGGGCTGAGTGACGAGCAGGAGCTGGTTGTGCTAAAAGGCATAGATAAGATTGGCAAGCAGCTGGAGATTGAACGCCTGTTTGAAGATATAACGGAAGTTTCGGATCGAAGATTGTTGCGCCAGCGAAGAGCAGACGAATTAGAACGCGGCAGAGATCAGCTAGAGGGCTGGTTCAAGAACAACGTCCTCCGGCATAAAAGAGTCGTAGACACTGCAAGAGTGGACAGCATACAATGGGACCGGGAAAACTCCATCTTTGCCGATATATTACTGCGCGCCGATGATGATGACGAGGATCAAGACTCTGATGGGACAGATCGGTCACCAGGGCCGTCGGAGTCATCTACGCCGCCTGTGCGAAATGCACCGGGGCCTCTTCTAGGCATACCAGTCGGATCGGGTCGCACTCGTTCGAGGTCGCCGTCCCGCCAACGAGCATCCCGTAAATCGACTATATTCCCTGCGCACCGAGCCATGCTATTGCGCTCCGAGTATTTCCTGACCATGTTCAGCTCGCAGTTCAAGGAAGCACAAGATACGCCGCACTTGCAGATTGTAACCATCGACTGCTCGCCAGCCGTCCTGGAAACCATACTCACCTTCATGTACACCGAGCGCGCCGACTTTGGTCTGGACATTGCCATCGATGTGCTCTTTGCTGCAGATCAGCTCTTCATTGAGAAGCTCAAGCAGCGCGCCGCCATCATCATCTCTGCGCTAGGCAACGGTGCAACCTCAGCAGTGGAGTCAGACAACCCACGTGGAGCTACAGATGCTGATGAAGCCGTGGACATCTACGAAGTTATCCGAGCCGGATGGGATACAAGGGTACAACGCCTAGAAGAATTTGCTGCGCGATACATCGCCTACCGACTGGAACACTACATCGACCAACCCGAGTTTGCAGAGCTGGTCCAAGAATCCGCGAACCGCGTCAAGGCACGTCAGGAGACTGACACTGTCGAACTTGTTGACGATATCCGCTACTACCTCTCGGAACGATTTAGGCTTCGTTTTGAAGACAGCGGGCTAGATGAGATGATGGACGAGAACGCAGCCATGCAAGCTAGTACCGAGGGAGATCTTGTTGACGAAATGGGCGACCTCGCACTAGAAGACGGCGTACAGCAGGACGAGAATATCGCGGCGGTGGAACAGCAGATCGCTGCTGGTGTGATTAGGAATTTGGACGGCGAGGAGGTTGGTGATGAGTTTGCTCAGGACGCGATGAATTATCAGATCTTGCTGGGAAAGATAGACACATTGCTTGAGCAGCTGAACTTGGATGCTTAGATAGTGAATCTACTGAAGCTATCAAAATCAGAGAGTCATATCCGGGATGTTCTGACGGGAGGTTGTGCATGTGCTGGGGGGGTTCTGACACTTTGTTTGACAATGGTGGAGCCGTGGAATCTAGCACGTGGCGTGGTCCGGGTAATTGCTTAGCGAATCTTACAAGCAGCCTATATTGTCAGGTACGCTCCACACATGGGATGTTTTCTAGGTACATGCACCTTGCCCGGTCTTAACCCAAACAGACTGACCAGTAAATTTCCTTGACTTTTCGCTCTTCTACTTAAATCACCCCGACTCCCCATCCAAGAAACCAAAGGGAAAAAAGACATGGGAACCCAAATCCGCGAGGACCTCTTATACCGACTACGCTGGAACCTGTTAGCCCCTCTACAAGACATCGAAATCACGACAGGACCCAAAAACGAAGAAACACTCGTCCCACTATTCGATCATCCTTGCGCGAACACACCTCTCTCCGTACCCAGTCGACATCGTTTCGAGGTGCTAAGTGAGGACATATGGACATTACACGAGGGCTGGCATCATGGCGACGACAGCCCAGAGCCAGACTGTGCATGCAAGCCTCCGCCTAATCTGGTCATCGAGAACGCAGACGGGAGACCAGTTACGCTGAGGCAGTTTGTCACGCAGGTTCATCCGTATCTGAATGAGCATATGGGCAAAGTTAAGAGGGCTTTGACTTTGTTTCAGAAGGACCTTCCTGAAGAGAAGATTTTTCTCTTTAAACGCGCGTGGAATTTCAATACCAAATTGAGGGTTTATCTGATGCTTAAAAGGGATGCGGAGTATATGGAGGAGCATTGGGCTACGCAATTGGACTTTGCGCGTCGATACGAAGATGGGAGATTTGGTGACGTTTGTGGTGCTACGAGTGGACGCGATGCTTGATGATCTTGGTCGAGTACCGCGATTTCAAAGCCTTTTGTGGTATGCATTGTCTCGCACCTACCTGCACTCGAGGAACACTGCGGTCGCTGGGCGGTACATGGAGTGTGCGATCGCGCGAAGCCACGTTGTTCGTGGCTCCCGAGGTCCGGTGTGGCGCTACCTTCTGTTAGTAGAAAGGCACTTGAGCAGTCCATACTGAGAGCGTCTAGTTTCAATGTGATAGTAGACGGTTCTGGAAGAAGCGCTACTATCCTAGTCCCTGTTACACCTAGGCACTGTGTCTACTTCATCATTGCTATTGGTGACATCATGGTGGGGTAGCCGCGGTGCTCAGTTCCCCACCCAAACCGTCGTTGACAGCTTGACAAATACCTTAGCAGCTCATAATGCGCGTCATTGCCCGAACAACTTCACTTCTTCAATCTCCAACTGCTCGACTCTTACCTCAAAACTTACGGAGAGTTTCAATCGCGGCACCACGATCCTTTACACTTCGTCAGACAGCACTTCCACGCAAACAAGGGCTATTCGCCATATCCAAACAACAGACCGCAACGATGTCGACGGAATCCACACAGTCGCAGGCATGCTGCAACACACCCGCTGTAGTCAGCGAGGGATACCAACCAAAGGGCGATTACATTGAGGCAGATGGACTGAAGACTTGTACGTTCTAGCACCACGACATCACCAGGGACCGCAATTGACTTTCAACAGACCAAACCGGCCCCAAGGACGCAAAGCAAGGAATCCTAGTTGTCTACGACATCTTCGGATTCTTCAACCAAACACTCCAAGGTGCTGATATCTTGGCTTACACCGACAGCCAGAAGTACCAGGTCTTTATGCCCGACTTCTTCGACGGCAAGCCAGCCGACATCTCCTGGATGCCCCCGGACACCAAGGAGAAGGAGCAGAAGATGGGCGAGTTCTTCCAGTCGCAGGCTGCGCCACCCAAGACTTTGCCGCGCATTCCGAAGATTGTTGATGAGCTCACCCAGAAGTACGGAATTGAGAAGTGGGCTATCATTGGCTTCTGCTGGGGCGGAAAGGTATGGAAAAGCTAATTAGATTACCTCACACGTATCGCCTAACACTATACAGATTGTCAACTTGTCTTCCATGGAAGGCACAAAGTTCAAGGTCGCAGCAGCATGCCACCCCGCCATGGTTGCCGGCGACGACGCCCCCGGCATCAAAATCCCCTACATCATGCTTCCATCAGGCGACGAGTCGAAGGATGACGTCAAGAAGTGGCAGGAGGGTATCAAGGTTCCTCACGTGGTTGAGTGGTTCCCAGACCAGATCCACGGGTGGATGGCGGCGCGCAGTGACCTTTCGCAGGAGAAGGTCAGGAAGGAGTATGAGCGCGGATACAAGATGGTGTTGGACTTCTTCCACAAGCACATGTGAGTTTGTCGGGAGAGCTGCGGTAATGTAGGTATAATGCTCATTCCGCTAGGGGTTCTGAGGCGAAGCTCTAGTATGAATACCGGTAATGTCGATACGAAACAATATAACGTAGGACAGAAGAACTTTTCTTCCTAGACTGTGACTGTAAGAGTGTTGTTAGCGGGCTTGAGTTTCCTAAATATAGGCATGGCTCCGCCAGCTATCCTATGCCCAGGCGGATCAACCATCACCAAGTATCTAACCCATCGCCAATGTGGAAAAGGTCCGAAGTCGTCGCAACAAAGGTTGCAAGAGCAGAGTTACGGGTAGGTGTGGGGCTCAACACGTGGGGTTAGGTACTCTGGGGCCGCCAGCCGCGTGCATTGGCGTAGAACGGCGGTTGAGAGACCGAGGGCATGTCGGCAATTGATCACGTTGCGGATGGCCATGTCGCAGGTTATCTAGAAGCATTGGGCAGACTTCGGCGTATTTTTGTCGCGACATTTACCTTCAGTGTTTCTCTGCGCATCTTTCACATACATTCTTCATTCATAGACATACAAGAAAGATCTCATCATGGCTCTCCCGATCGGTGCGTGTCCCCATCTCGTGTAGCGGCCGTGGCGCGCTTGTCGTCCCATCCAGCTCCCGACCATCTCTACACGACCCTTATCGTACATGCTAGCTAACGAAGCTTTGAAGCACCTCAAGCTGTAGCAGGCGCAATCGCAGGCGTTACTGCCGCTGCAGCCTACATCGACGCCAAATACCACATCACCAAAGACCTCAAAGGCCAACGCGTCCTGAAAGCTGCCGCGCGCGATCTCGAGAAGAATTGTAAGCCCGAGCTACACAAGCCTCGTGCCCACCATTTCCTAACAAGACAACAGCACAAGGCAGAGGCCAATCTCTGTGGTACCAATTCGAAGCCCAAGTCCACCGCCTGCCCTCGACCGAAGAATGCATCTGGTCCCGAACCGGCTGCTACACCTGGGCCGAGACCTACGCAAACGCCTGCCGATACGGCCAATACCTCCGCCAAAATGGCGTCGTTCCCGGGCAGCTCTTTGCCATGTACATGATGAACCGGCCGGAGTTCCTCTTTGCACATCTGGGTAGCTGGAGCATAGGAAGCGCGCCGGCGTGGATCAACTACAACCTCGCCGGCGATGCGCTGGTGCACTGCCTGAAAGTCAGCGGCGCCAAGGTGCTGCTTGTGGATGAAGACCAGGAGTGCAGAGACCGCATCGAAGCTGTGAGGGAGAGGCTGGAGAGCGAGCTGGGCATGACTGTACTGGTCTTGGACACCGGGTTGAAGGGAGAGATATCGAGGTTGGAACCTACTAGGCCTGAGGATGAGCTTAGGGTGGGCATGAAGGGGAAGTTCCCGCTCTTCCTGTTCTACACAAGGTTAGTTACCGCGATGGCTTTTGCGAAGAGGATGATGCTAACTAGAACAGTGGCACAACCGGACACCCGAAAGCTTGCCCCTTCGAGACGCAAAGAGCAGTCGGCTTGACACAACGTGTGGGTGCTATGGGACTGAAGACAGGACCCAACGGCGATAGGTGGTATGTTTGCATGCCTCTATACCACGGCACGGGAGGCACGACGGCACTCGTCTGCATGGTCACCGGCCTTACATGCTGTATCGGCACCAAGTTCTCCACATCGAAATTCTGGACCGATGTACGCGATTCGAGATCCACCGCCATAGTCTACGTAGGAGAGACCGCCCGGTACCTTCTCAACGCCCCTCCCAGCGAGCTCGATCGGAAACACAACGTCAGGGCCATGTTCGGAAACGGTCTTCGTCCCGATGTATGGCAGCGCTTTGTCGATCGCTTCGGCATCGAGATCGTCGGCGAGTTCTTCAACAGCACAGAAGGCGTCATGGCGCTTTTCAATGGCTCGCGTGGGCCTTTCACAGCAACTTCAGTCGGACACCAGGGTCTCATCGAGCGCTGGCGCTCCCACAACACTTACGTCCCAGTCGAGATCGATTTCGTAACCGGAGACCTCTTGCGCGATCCCAAGACTGGATTCTGCAAACGCAAGTCCTACGAGGAGGGCAGTGAGATCCTCGTACAGATGCCGAGCGAGCAAGCCTTTGTCGGCTATTGGAATAACCCGGATGCTACTGAGAAACGCTTCGAACGCAATGTCTTCCGGAAAGGCGACTTGTATTACCGTACAGGCGACGCTCTCCGCCGCGACGCCGACGGCCGCTGGTTCTTCATGGACCGCCTCGGCGACACCTTCCGCTGGAAGTCGGAGAACGTGAGCACAGCCGAAGTCAGCGAGGCACTTGGCTCTTTCCCCGGAATTCAAGAAGCAAACGTCTATGGTGTCGAAGTGCCTGGCTACGACGGTCGCGCAGGCTGTGCAGCCATCTACATCGACCCCGCACATCTAGACTCGTTCAACTTCAACGCGCTACTTGCGCACGCGAAGGAGAAGCTGCCGAAATACGCAGTGCCTGTCTTCTTGAGGATACAGAAACAGCAGACTACGATGCACAACAACAAGCAGAACAAGGTTCCGCTGAGAAACGACGGTATTGATCTGAGGAAGCTTATGGAAAGGGCGGATAAGGAGGCGAAGGAGCAAGGGAAAGAAGAGGCGGAGTACGATACCATGTACTGGCACCCGGCCGCTCTTGGATCTGGCAAGGGCAAGAGTGGCGGTGATGATGGATATGTTGTATTCACCATGGCGGATTGGGACTTGCTGAAGGGAAGTGTAGATGTAGAGGGTGGTGCCAAGCTGTAAGGTTCCCAAGTATATAATTGCTTATAGTCTGTAAATCGTAGCGTTCTCGTTCTGTAATAAACATCATGTCTGCGAACACGCGTGAGCCATGACTGAGTTTGCTCGTGACACACTGTCGCTTCTTCATTGTCGTTTCACTTCTCTTCCATCAACGTAGGCTCGAACTTCTCCTTTCTGGCCTGCGTCGCACCAGAAGCCTTCCACGCTGACAGAATCAAGTCCACAATAGCATCCACACCCTGATCCCTCTTGACGACCGCAAAGATAGTCGGTCCACCCTCACGCATCCTCCTGCTATCCCGCTCCATGACACCCAGATCCGCACCGACGGCCTCGGCAAGATCGATCTTGTTGACGACCAGAAGGTCTGATTGCGTGATACCCGGACCACCCTTCCTGGGGATCTTATCACCACCCGAGACATCGATAACGTAGATGATGAAGTCGGCGAGTTCGCGCGAGTAGTTCGCAGCGAGGTTGTCGCCGCCGGACTCGATGAGCAGGAGGTCCGTGTTGAACTTTTGGTGCAGGTTTGTGAGCGTCATGAGGTTGACGGAGATGTCTTCGCGAACGGCGGCATGGGGGCAGCCTCCCGTTTCGACAGCGACGATGCGCTCACTACAATCGCGTCAAACATGCTCCGGCAATATGTGTATTGTGGCTGCTCTTACGCGGGCAAGGCATTGTTCTTGGTGAGGAACTCGCAGTCTTCTCGCGTGAAGATGTCGTTTGTTACCGCGGCTATGGAGAAGCGTGTTCGGAGGTGTTTGCAGAGGGCTAGCATGAGGGCCGTCTTGCCCGAGCCTACTGGTCTAGGCTGGTCAGTATCTTGAGGATATAGTACATCATGCCATGCCAACCCTGCCACAGGCAAACATCGGCCGAGCAGTGTAGCGACATGTACGTGTCACACGGGGACCATCGTACCCTCCAATTCCGATAGTGAAGGACCGGTCTTCCCAGTCTCTTCCCTCGATGATGGGCAGCTCGCGGCCCAGGTAGCTCCCCGGCCCATCGAGGATCTCATGCGTGTGGCCGTGATCCGCAGCCTCGTGCGAATGCGAATGCGACGCGCCTTCGTGTGAGTGGCCGGTAGACATTGTTGTATGATGTAGTATGACTATCAATCAACAGAGGAAGCCAGCAAGCAGGAGCGAAGCTCGAGGATCTCCATGGTGGGGCACGACACGACGAGAGACGTGGGGTTCAATCCGGCGCAACCCTGGTAGCGAAGCTTCACTCAATAACACCGGCGATAGGCTGACAGGCGACGACACGCCGCTCGCATGAACAACACTCACGACCGTATCAAAGGCCAATTCAATGCGGCGGTGATTGTCATTACCGTAGCGTGCCACGACTCGAATAAGGCGTCCTTAATCGGAGGATACGGGAATGCTCGGACCATGGCGCGAGGGATCATTGCTGCTGCCCCTGCATCTTCATCACGATCCTCGGCACCCGCGATATGATTACCAGCTATAGTTCCCTTCTCTGAATTTCACGGACCAGCATGTTCCCACATGGACCTGTCGTTCTTGGTCGGCGGCGCATAGGAGCTTGCGTACCATTGGGAAAGGAGAATGAGGTGCCGGAGCAATCTTTCGCTTCTTCAATCCTTCAATATCGCCCAGACCCGCCACACAGCCACGGCAATGGATATGCAGTTAATTTCCACGCCTGCGAGCCTCCCTATGCGGTGGCCCTGGTACCTGCAGGTGACATGACGCAGGATTTCGCAGCTCTATGTAAAGCCAGCGCAGCACCCGCAAGCTTGTGGACCCTGTTTTCTCCATGCCCTTGCGTTTTCAGGTTTCTGCGTCTTAATCGAGATCGTGCGGTTTGGAGATATTTCCCCATACGGTAGACCTCTTCCTGCTTTAAGGATAGTTGTTCCCTTCTGAAACTCACCTTCGTCGCTCGCCTGCTTTCCCCGCTTCCTCTTGTTTGTTTGTTTTTGCGATTCTATACGCGTATTTTTCTGGTGTAATGTCTAACATGGCTGTCTCGTGGGAGAAATCGACACATGGGTCTCTCACGTTATGGGACATCGATCGCGAATTCCAAGATGCGCATGAGGCGTACGAGCAATGGCAGGCACGGCATCGTCGCACGCGTTCTAAATGGTTGTGTCTCGGCACGAAGAACCGCGACGATGCTGTTGGCAAAGCTCTGAGCCTGGGGCGACAGATCCAAAGGATTATGGAGCAAGGAAAAGCAAGATTCGGGGCACGATTCGAGGAAGGCGACAGTAAGTCCACGGTTCGATACCAAGATTATAAAGACTGACCATGTGTAGCAAAATGCAACACCATCCTCTCAGCACAACTCCTACGAATCCAATACGAAATTAGACAACCACTTTACGACAGCGTTTTCTCTTCGACACCAACGATACCCATTGACGACATAATTACGACCGCCAAAAGCGTCCGTCGCGCCTGCCTCACTGCCCTGCGCGAACAATACGCACGTCTCGAATCGCCCATCCTATCGCCCATACTGCCCCCTCCACGTTTCAAAGTAGAGTTCTGCCCATTCGCAGACAACCTGCGGAAAGATCTCAAAGAGTCCAAATCGAGCACACTACGCGCCAAGAAAGCTTTCCCACACGATAAACACGACGACAGGGAGATATGCCCACACTGCGATGCATGCATATCCGTCGCAGCTCACTCCGGACTGCCCGCATCCAGATGTATACTCTTCACCTCGCACATTGCGCTCGATCCAATGGCGACGAACGACAAAGCGACCTTTGCATGCAACAGCTGCTACAAGACTTTCGATGATTCCTACGCCTTCCTCGATCATTACTTCCAGAAGCAAATCGGGAGTGAGAGGAGTTGCTTGCGGCTGTCCGTACAGAGGAGCTCGAGCTGGTTCCTGAACGAGCAGTTTCTCGACAGCGACCCTTCGATCGTTGAGCAGTGTCTGAAGAATTGCATGGCGAGAGAGACTATGCGAGGTAGAGGCCACAAAAAGATGAAGAGTCAGATCACTATACGACAAGTACATTCGAGCGGGAACGATTGAAGTTTCCCTACATGGAAATGATAGCACGACCACATATCACGCCGCCACTGGCAGGAGCAAAACAACGAAGCAACGCAGCATTCGTCAGCACTACACGATCAGTTGTATACGAATGCGTCCTTTGGTATTGCTAATCAGCCATTCGAATCGCAAAGCGACAGCAGAGACCTTACACATACCGTCTCACGACCCGCACACAAGTTCCACACCAAAGCCAAAGCTTTGATATGAACGCGGACGGAACGCCGCTTTCTCCGCCTCTTCCTCTTCTTGTATCATACATACTTTTTTCTGTACACATACGTTTACTCTTATGTCTAATGCCCTAATGTTTTTGTCAAGGAATTCTAGATCGTAGCAGAGTACGTCACGAGCACGATAAATACGAACACGAATGTACAATTGCGAATCAAAACCCCAGCGCAAGCTCACCGCGATGAATACGAATACTTTCTCAAACTTGTATACATGATCAGCATACCGTTCATATGTATCCAGCGCTCCTGAACACCACGCGCCGCACCCTCACCTAACACAGCGACGATCACGCCCATCGCATAAACAGCGCAAGCCGTGATATCCGCATGCCCAGACACACGTCAGATGGGCATCCCGGTTTCACATTGGCAACGAACGCAAACGCAGCTCGCAGAAGGAAAGGGAAAAGGACCGAGAAAGATAGCTTCATCTCCTCGGCCCTTTTTCCGCGCGGAACTTTCCCTCGAGCACGTTGCTCGTCACCTAACTCCAAGCAATCGGTCTCATATCGCCAGACTGCAGTATGGGGACATGTACAATGATCGCAACTCTACCCGAGTGAGCTGACGATCTACCAACTGTGACACTCATCACCCAGCCTGTCCGTTCCCCAAGAATCGGGAATCGGGGGATGAGCAGGACATACGCGCCACACCCACAGAACTCTATCTTAGCGACCTAAGAGTGCTATCAAGCCGACATACCCGTCTTGTATCCGGCCACTTCTTTCCTTTGCCTTTGCTATACTGCACATACACATCTACTCAGCGTTGTAAAGCGAACGCGCCAGCGACGCGCAACCACATGAAACCACATCTGTCCGTGAGTCTCTCACTCGGCGAAACCCCACCGTAATACGTCTTGGCTTTCTTACGTATGGATGCGCCTGGGTACGAGATTATTCCGCTCATCACGAGAGGATTATTACGAACGACTGCTTGGGGTTCTTGGTGCATTGCGTGTTGGTGTTGGCCTGGGCGGTTGTGATGGGGATACCTGGTTTGTGTGTAGGGTGGGTTGGTTGTATGAGTTATTAAACACGAGGAATGCGCGGGTTTGCTCGGTGATGGGAAAGATGATGTAGACGAAGGGCAGGCTTATATTAAGAGATTCATAGCTCATCACCCCTCACAAGACCTTCAATGTCACTCCCCAAACATGTGCTCTGTTTACACCCTCCAACATTCCACCACCACCTTTGCTTTTCCCACCCCTTCCTTCTTCCCCAACCCCAAGCCCGAGCGGAGCCCCATAGCGCAAACAGCGTATCCGCGGCGGAATCTGGGCGGTATTGGCACGAGTCTTGGACGGCAAGTCTGCCGCAAGAAGAAGTTATCGTTGCGGTGAGCAGATAACGTGTCGAAACACATGTAGCGGAATGGGCGGAGCGGCGGTAAGCATTGGGCTGCTAACATGCTCACTCCCCATGTGTGGCTTGCAATTAGATTGGATCGGGCGGTCGGGGCAACTGGATTTCCGCTCTCTGGGTGCCATGCGTCTTGGACGCGTGTGGCGTTGCTCGAAGCATTGGAGGGGCCGAGGGGCTGAGTACGGGTGAGTTTGCGCCAGGACTCCTTGGTAAGGCGTGGGTAGTGGCTTGGAAGCGCGGGTTACCTGCTTGGAAATGTAACGGTGTAAAGTGATTCGTACGAGGTACACTGACGATTGCGAGTTGCATGTGCAAGAGACATTATGGATGTTGTAGA